AAGCCAGTTGTCAGTATTTTCAATGAGAAGTTACCCGTCATCATCACAAAGACTACGTCCGATGTTGGACTAGGAGCAGGTTTCAACAACAGTTAGCTGATCAGCTGATCACCATTGCATTTGCTTCTCGCACATTATCCTCTACCGAGCGCAGGTATTCCACTGAAGAGTGTGAAGCTCTCACATTTCTTTTTTGCTTGAGAGAAATGACATGTTTATTTGTGGGGTCGGCACTTCACTTTGCACACAGATAGTCAAGCTCTTGTCGCACTTCTTTTTGCGTGCTCCAAAGGCGGTTGCACCCTTCGCGTTTCTAGGTGGTTTTCTAGACTCAAGTACTACAACTTCAGTGTGCAGTATTGTTAAGGTGCCAATAATGTAATTGCAGATGCCTTGTTGCGTCTCCCTCTTCATCTACCGGTTACTGAAGAGCGTGATGAATAAATTGTTTCCTTGGTTACTTCCTGCATTACTAAATCTGATCTTCAGGCTATCATTGCTGCTGATCCGACATTGTCTCAAGTTCTGACATATGTACATATAGAATGACCTTCCAAAAGTTCCCTTTCAGCTGAGTTTTTGCCTTAATTCAATGTCAGACAGAAACTCTTTTGTGTCGAGGACTTGCTTTTCTGTGATCAGCGAGTGATTCCCGCGGCATGTTTACGGCACAAGCTTATTCAGCTTGCCCTTGAATTGCACCCAGGCATTGTCTGCACTAAACAGAGCCTTCGTGACATGTACTCGTGGCCACTCTTAGGCAAGAAGGTCGAACAGGCAGTCTACAACTGCCACATATGTCAGGCGGCTTAAAAGCCAGCCAAACCTTCATTTTCTCTCTTGCACCCTGTTCCGTGGCTCTATCAGCCTTGGCAAAAGCTTGGTATGGGCATCATTGGTCCTTTGCACAATTTTCCGCAAAATGAGTGGTTCATTATTTCTCTCATTGACTATCACTCCATGTGGCCTGAAAGTTGTTACATGCATAATGTAACTTCTGAAGTTATTATCGAGTTTCTGTCTCCCATTTTCAGCGGAGAGGATTGTCTTAATGCAATAGTTACAGGCAATGGTCCTCAGTTTCATTCGCTCTAGTTTGAGACTTATCTTTCGCAAAGTCGCATCCAGCGTTTGAATTCACCTTTCTTCTACCCGCAATCGAATGGACAAATTTAGCTATTCAATCCTGTTTTGAAAGAACACATTCAGATTGCACAGTTGGAACAGCGTCTACTCAAGCAAGCCTTGACTGAATGCTCGGCTTCGCACAGGTCCTTCTCCGCAAGGCACTACAGGAGTGTCTCCTGCTCAACTTCATGGTAGGCAACCTCGAGCCGCTCTCGACATAGTTTCCTTTCATCGCAACACTTCAGTTCTTCTGAGTCTGCAACTTCAGACCAGAGTCTTTTCCCGTCAGAAGCAATGAAGCAGTATGGGGACAATCGTCATGGTGCTAAGCCCTCGAAAGTTCGAGTCGGTGGCACAAAGTTCGTGTCTCAGGAAGACGTGCCAAGTATTGGGGTCAGTAGAAAATCTTGGAACAGCTTAGCCCAACTTCCTTGCAGTTGAGTTACGGCAACACATGGAACTCCCTTATATGGTGATTTTTCATACGAATTCGGCTTCAATGCCTCGAACTTCTACTTATCACCATTCCACTTCTTTGCATTACTCATCAGAATATTATTGTATGTGGCCTCCCTGCTCAGATACTTCCTTTTCAAGGGGGGAAGGACCTTTCAGTAGGTGTGGCTCCAAGTTAAACAGTTTACATTGAACCCTCATCAACATAAGCCTGTCAAATGGTAAATTCCTCTGGAAAGTCTTGCTGCTACTTCATGCAACGAGGCCACAACCGCAAGTGCAAAGTCCAACCCAGCACTTTCCCAGCCTCTTGACCGTGCAGTGAAATCGCCAAGCCAGTCGTGACAGCACCACGCTTGTAACAAGTGGACTAGACCTCGCCATTTCGCGGACTATGATTTAGACTGATGTGGAACTTTTTGTTTTCTTGTTCTCGTATTGATTGTACTGGGTGTTCTTGTGCCAGGTGCTTGTTCTTCTATGAGCTGTGTGTATTGTTCTATTGTATTTTCTTATATGTGTCTTTTTTCAAGGGGAGGATGGTATTGTGTCATGCTGTTCCACTTAGTTTCGTTTCCAGTTTCTGTTTTGATTGTTATGTGGTCCCTCCTGCGGCCGTGTTATGTATCACATGTATATGTGTGTAAATAAATGAGTTGGTGGCGAAGCCCTGGTGCAAACGAACATTCTTCTCTCAACGCTCCATGCCAAAGTCGTGGGTGGCAGCCACCGTCAGCGTCGACGTGCTGTGTCCTTTTAGTTCTTCTTCTTTGTTGGCGTTGCGGCCAGCCAACCCGGCACAACAAGAACGCAAACAAATACACTGCTTGTGGCCCTTGCGTCATATGTCAGTTTTCACTCCGGACAATGTTAGTGACAGCGGTCACCAGTGATTGGAGCCTCTATGCTCGGAGTTCCCATAGGTTTTCACACAGAATAGTCTGTGCGAAATTTGCAAAGGCCTGCTTCTTGCTGTCAGACATAAGGCATGCACTATGCATAGCCATAATGTTGGAGCATTCATTCTATCACAACCTCTGCTCGATAGTGTGCTCCATCATGATTGCCTCATTCGTGAACTCACTCACGTTTACTCGTGCATTGTGCAAGAGTGCAGTTAAAAGCTGTTCTCCAACATTACAAATGAAATTTCCCACCTTCTGTTCCTGAAACATTGCAGGGTCTGCATTCTTGAAAAGTCAGAACTCGTCCTCGACAAATCTAATGATTCATGTTTTGCCACTGGTTTCTACATGGAATGACATGTTCAGCTCAGTCTTTGCTTTCAGTATCATGGTAGGCGTCGTGGAACTGTAAGCTAAGGTCTTGCCATGTTGTAAAGGAACCTTCACGATTGTCGCACCATTGTTTTCACAGAGCCTTTCAATGTGAAGTGAGCTTTCTAAAGGTCATGGATGCCTTTCAGATGCTTTAGTTTATGCTAGCAACCTGATCAAAGAGGTCGAGGCAGTCATCGACTTCAAAAATATCACTGCTCCGTGCACCTGTGGGGCATAAAAAGCATGCGGGAGAGCGGGCATCGTGAGCTCCACTTGCCAGGCTTGTGATTAAGATTGACATCTTCTCAGTCTTGATGGCCAGGAACCAAACTTCGAAGCTACTCCTTACTGGTGGTTGCCGCTTCTTGCAGTGGCCGTCTCCAAGGTGCTGAGAATCACAGCTGTAACTCCGGAGAAAAGTTATATGCCTTGGCCATTATTTTCACAGGTGAAACAAGAAAGAGAGCCAGTAATTGAAAGTTTTTCCCAGGACCAGACCAGAAAAACATTTTCTGCTTTCACACCCGAGCACATGCATGTCACTGCAGATCCTTCATATAAGATGTCGTGTGGCAATACGCGTATACAAAAGTATGAAATTTCGGATTCTGGCAACATCTAAACAAAACACAGATGTAGAATTTGAGCATTGAGAGAGTGCTGCTGCTTTAAAGTAAAGTGCAAAGAACACAATAAATGAGGCTCACTGAATGGGCATTGAATCACTCTCAGCTACTCGCCTGTGCCACACTTCTTGACAGTGTAAGGTGTTGAGAGTTCACACACAACAGCCGACTGTGGTAGCGATGCCCGCTGTCATCACCGGTGCCCGTCACAGGTATTACACACGAGAGAAGAAACAAGCAAAGAGGGTTTGAGCCAGAATCGAACCCGGGCATTTCGTGCAGCAATCATGTGCTGAACCGCGGAGCAGGCAGTGCTCAATACTTTCCCAGAAGAAGATCCTCCAAAGGCACATATCAGTTGAGAAATCATGTTTACGGATGTAATATTGTGTAGCAAGAAGGGTGGAATGCATCTAGTGTCACACCATGTTAAATGAGGAGCAATTATTACTTTTTATATCATCATCGGCCACAGCATCAACAAAATGTGCTGCTATGGCGGTGTGCATATTACCTTACAAATGCGTAGTTGATACGTCGCAAAATAATCAATTATGGCAAAGAAAGTACTTATCAAAGAGATCATCTGAGCATATCGTGTACCTCGCTATCGTAATTGGGCACTTCAGGAGGATTGCAATCCATTCAAGGAAGGCCGGTCATCCAACTTTGCTGCGAGCGAGCTACGTGTTCCGCACAGAACTGGTCTTCCGTCCTTTCTTCTTTTTTTTTTTTCACTGTCATTGTTGCAAATGAGAACATCTTTTCGTTCTTTCAAACTTCTTCTTGCAATCGGTGTGTCCATCAGTGGCAACCCACTGCCAGCAAGCGAAGCTACCGGTCCGAAGTGAGAGTTTAACACTACGGTTGCCAAGCCTGTAGCGGCAACCACTCGAAAACATTGACATTAAGTAAGTCAACATGTGAGTCAGCTAAGTTTACGCAACTGCAAAAGCTGACTATGTTTCATTCAAGCAGAAATGATTTATTTATTCATTTATTCATTTATTTATTTGGGAGCTTAACGTCCTAAAATCACCATATGATTATGCAAGACACTGTAGTGGAGGCCTCCGGAAATTTTGACCACCTGGGGTTCTAACTTCTTTAACATGCACCCAAATCTGAGAACACGGGCCTACAGCATATTCACCTCCATCGAAAATGCAGCCACCGCGGCCGAGATTCGATCCCACGACCTGCGGGTCAGCAGCCGAGTTAAAGCCACTAGACCACCGCGGCGGGGCACGGGGCAGAACTGAGCAGGTCGCGTAGCCCCGGCACGCGAGAATGCCAACACCCTCCATCGTCGGGCGATCGCGCTCCCGGCGCGTATGCGGTGCTCCGCCAAGAAAAACGTGGTTGTAACCTGCCAAAGTAAAAAAAAAAAGAAAGCGAGTCTGCTGCGTCAGTCTTGGCGCGACGTAAAAGTTGTTTCGACAGAAAACAGGGAACCGAGCCTTGTTGTCGCAGGGGCACCACGGTGGTGCCTCGCTACACAACTACGTACCTGGCGTCGTCTCTGGTTCCCCGCAGGTGTCCACGTCGGTCGCCACTCGGATTTCCCTGGTCGTTACACGGAAGAAGATCGGACTGCGTGCAGCTCAAGGCACTATTTACGTTGACCAAGGCAACCAAACCACCCGGTTAGTCGTCGTCCAGAAGCCCAGTTTAGAAGGAGTCGAGAGAGAGTATTCTCAAGTTCCAACAATCGCTACAGAGGGCGAAAAAGTCATCCGCGACGCTTGCAGCGCATCCTAAAAATTCAAGAAAGCTGATCTACTACTCGCCCACCTCTCTCTTGCGTGGAAACCATGATGCTGGTAGGTGGCGCGACCACTGATAACGAAGGCACCACGGAGGAAGGTGGAAGGCACGAATACAGTGTACTAGAAGAGAGCAGTGGGCTTACTCCACCGCTCCTCTGACGCAGTTGGTGTCACTACAGGAATCTTCGATGGAAGCTTCGCCTGCAGAAGCTGCTTGCCACTGGCCGCTCGTACAAGTTGCGACGCGCGTTTCTTCGATATGTATAATAAACTTGCTTGTATTGACTTCCCTTTGACTGTACTAAGAGCGTATGTTGCTCTCGGTTCGCCATTATTTCCTTTTTTTCTTTGCAATAGGTTTGCCGAAAGTCAGTCCAATAGCAGCTTTTGCAGATATGCTTCTCCGCGACGCAGTTAATGCTTTTTTTTTTTTCTTGGGTGCGGGGGAGCTTGAGTTCTTTGCACATTTTGGCAAGCACTACATTTGTTCAGGCCACATCGTATTTTCCCCAATATAACACCTCACCAAGCATAAAAGGACGGTGCACCCCTCAAAATATACGGTTTCATACAGTGACCAGCCGTGTACTTCGATCTAGGTGCAAGGTAAAGAACCCCAAATGGTCGAAATTTCCAGAGCCCTCCACTACGGCATCTCTCGTAATCCTGTCGTGGTTTTGGGACGTTAAACCCCAAATATTATTAATATTACAGTGACCAGATATACGGTTACGTGCTGCGTAAACCAAAAATAATTTTGTAGCAAGATTGTGCCCTGCCTTCCACCAGATAATTAGAAAGCAGTGCACGCTTGCTTCCTAGCTGAGCTTTAACATGCAGGCGTGCTAGCTGAATGTGTGCCTTTGTTATGATGAAATGAAATTGTAGCTGAAATGTATTTTGTTCTAATTTGATGTTGCACGTGGCACAGTAGTTTTCTTGGGGTTTTTAACAACTATAATTACGCAGTTACATATCTGTTAGGCCTATCTACAAGCTTCTGTTTTTGACATGAAGCTCTCATACTCAAAACTGAAGCACAATATTAAACCACTGATTTACACACACTTTATTCACTTCATGTGCAACGGCTCAGCTTAATTCAGCTGCTTGGCCCTCTGCCGCTTTCCTCCTTTGTCACTGTTCAGTCCTTTCACATAAAAATGAAGACGCGTGACAACGTAAAAACTAATAACTTTCGCTGTAAGAGTGTAGCTGCATGCCCACTGCAACCAATTTCGATGGAAAGTTTGTGTTGAACAACTGCCAGCATGTCCATATTGCTGTCAGAGTGCAGCTCGCTCTGGCAGAAACAATCTGTGAAGATATCTTCGAGCTTTTTGAAAGAGGCGTACAGAGGGGATGGAGGAGGCCGACTAGAGGTATGGATGAGGCCTGTTTGGTCACAATAGTTGGTTAGCCGACCAAGCTGCAAAGATTCACCAGGTGAGGTCACGGTGAGCAGCTTGATGCAATCTTGGCATTTTGTTCTAGCATTAAAAACGCATTTTCGTGCAACATAGCCCGAAATATGATAAATGAGCCTGGAGTCGCTTCTGACCACGCGCTGGTTATGGACATTTGAAGCCTGTGGGCCAGCATTATGCTGGTGTGCCATGATTTTTTTGTTTTCTCTTCAGCTGCAGTGGTAGCAGCAGTTTGACTACACTCCTCTCTAACAGTTGATAGACAAGTGGTGCTGCGACAACAGCTGCTGCGCAAGAAGTGGCTAGCACTTTCAGCCGCCGCGCTCACCCAGAGTCTAATGATGGCGATGCCAGCGCCGCTACCCGGGCAAAGAGAGAAACACACACTGGCGACGTTTGCGGAGTCACTAGAGGTAGGGTGGCTAGAATGGCTAGCCACCCTACCTAGCCACCCTACTAGAGGTGTGCGCCGAGGCGATTTCGACCGGCGATGGCGTGGGGGTCGTCCAGAGTCGGGGGCGTTGTCGGCGCAGCCGGTTTTTTCATCGGCGGCGGCGTGCGGCCAATTTTCGTCGGCGTCGGCGGCACAGAAACCGAAACTGAAAATTCAAAAGGCTCTACTACCACAGGTTACTGAATTCGTTGAAATTTAGGGATTTTCATCCAAATAGCATAAATGACACTACACAGATGTGTCGACATCCCGATGAATGCAAAGCGTTTTATAAAGTAGTGTTTATATTGCCTTCATAAAAAATAACGCGTATTTCAATCTATGTCTATGTTCTACTGTAAATGTGCAGCACTTTGCTTTTTTTTTTAATTTAAGATGCAGCAGTTTGTTGCTGTTGTTGGCTACGTCATACTTTATGAAACCTTCTTTCATTGAACAATGAGCAAGCTGTGACTCACGTCACTCATTTCGCTTTCTCCGAATACGATCTTACTTTTACACTGTACGCTGCACAAAAAAGAAGCACCTCTGCTTCGAGTTTTCTTGTTGCGATTGCATGAAACCGCTTTTCAGAGTATCTGTCATGCTTTGAGTGTGACTTTCCTTCAAACGAACCAAAATACCTTCTGTTCACAATGTGAGAATCTTATATGCAATGGTATAGGATGCGGAAGGAAACAAATCTGCGCATTTATTCAACTAGTTCTCAGCACGGTGTTCAATGAATGAAGTGTAGACAGGGCGTGGGCGAGGCGGGTGGTGCAACACGGACACTTGAACCCTTCAAGCTCCACCAGTACTTGCTAACCACTCTAGCGACAACAACACGACCCGCTCCCCCAGTCGTGATGCAAGTTGAAAGAAGGGTTTGCATCCCCCCAAAACAAAAACCTGTCGATGGTCATATGTGCAGATGAGAGCAAATGCAATATTTGCTCAGATACACAGCCCATACTGGTCACGAGCTGGGCGTCCGTTGACCACGCCTGCAAAGAACGTTGACTCCCCGAACCCTTGGTGTTTGGTCAGGGAAGGGGGACACCCACTGCAAGTGGGCCCAATTAAAATTTCTCTTAAAAACGTCAAAAATAAGAATGCTTGATAAGTATTTATAAAACATTCAACTTTCCAATGCTTTTTTTTTATAGCGTGTACACGTGCTCGGTACCCATCAGATGTGTGAGGCAATCGAAATAGCAACTGCCACTCTCGACATGTTCCGGAAAATACTCAATAGAAGAATGCAATTACGAGTGCTGGGAACCGATGTTCGTTTGTATATTTGATTTCTAGGCATGATTTAAATTCTTATATAAACAAAAATAAAACCTGCAACATATTTAAAAAAAAGGCTGCTATTGCAAGATGTGTGTTGCAAGAGCGGATTTTTCTAGACTTACATCTCTGCAAGGCACATCTGGTGTCACAAACTTGCAAGTGTCCCCCCTTTTCCTCACGACATTTCCCCATTCCCACCCCCCGCCCCACCTCTCTAATAAAAAGGCACCAATGTAGGCCTCCGTAAACCTCCGTGATTGCCTACGGGTGCGTGGCGGGCCATTCCGGCGGCTAGGACCAACAGTGCCGATTTCGACTTGCTTTATTGCAGGTGCTGAAGGATCAAGAGAAGGCCGATATTTGTAAATTTCTTGAGATTTCACTGATAGTTTCTTTTTGAATACCGTGGATTATTTAACCTCGCTTTGAGTGTAATCCTCCAATGAAAAAAATGGTTTCATCCTGTGTCACTGCAGAGTCAGAAGCCATCACATGTGCAGGCATCATTAAGCTTATTGCTAAGATTCAGTACATTTGTACAAATAATTCTCGTTAATTTAACATTTTGAGTATAATCCTTGCTTGGTTTAGTATGTGTGAAACATTAAGTTGAGTTTTAAAGATTCTCCTTGTGGGTTCCTGCAGTAAAGACACATTTTTTAAAACTGATGACTTCGAGCTACGGCAGAGGTAACATTCGTTATGTTTTTTTCATTTACGGTAATAGTAATGCGTTACCTTTTTTATGTATTTATACAACGTGGAGCCGTGAAACGTTCCCCTTTTTCTTATTAGAGTAACGAGTGAGGTATTTAGTTACTTTTTACTGTAACGGATACATCACTAAATAGACATACAGGAGTGATCCCGGCCCACACCGTCAGTTGCTGTTGCGGTCTATAGGCTGGCTGTAAACATTACATGAATATATTCCTTTCACCCAGCACGTGATATGGAAGGGTTGCTTGACAATTCAGGATTTCGACCTTTGAGAAACACACAACAGCTTCTTAATGATATGCATATCATCCCACTGAAGCGTGCACTTCGTTTCGTTAAAGTTTACAGTCAACGTGAGTGCTGTCGTCATGCCGTATGTTTTAGGTAGAAACTTAGCCTACTCGAAATACCCAAAGACGTCGATCCACCTAGCAACGCGTGGCTACCCGCTGACGGTTCTGTATGAAAATAGCATCCACAGTGGTGCCTATTGCATCTGCTGAAATTTTATCGCAACATTAATATACTGCCACTTCGCTTGTATTTTTATGTGACTGTCTTGCGCAAACACACCGCCATTGTGGTTCAGTAGCTATAATGTACTCGGCTGCTGACCCGCAGGTCGCGCAATCGAATCCAGCCTGTGGCGGCTGCATATTCAATAGAGGCGAAAATGCTGTAGGCCCATGTGTTCAGATTTGAGTGCATGTTAAAGAACCCCAGGTTGTCCTAATTTCTGGAGTCCTCCACTATACGGCATCTCTAATTATCATGTGGTGGTTTTGAAACGTTAAACACCACATATTAATCAAGTGCCTTGCGCAAAGGACGCTTGGCTGTCTGCGAAAACTAGAATATTTTAGAATCTTCTGATAAGCTTGAGACACCTACGATTTGGATGCTAAGTGTATAAATGGTGACGTACCTTCGCGCAGATCTTATTAGCAACGACCAATGCTCCGATTACCGCTATCTGTGTAAAGCACGAATTTCTAGTACTTTGCACTTTCCTATGCACATGTTCACTCAATATAAAGTGTCGTCTTGAGCAACCCACGTACCATCTTCTTTGACGTCGCAACCACGTGGCAATACCGTAAGTGAAATGAGAACGCTGAAATGTTCGATACAAAACAGTGAGATGGGACGTAAGTGCACGTCCAAGTTT